GTGGCCTTCTCGCAGGACTGACCCGACTAGCGTCAGCGTCAGACGACAGAACCTGTCAAGATCTGGGACACAAGCAGCGGGACGTGTATGCACATGCCCGAGGGCCATAGCGACCGAGTTCGTTCGGTGGCCTTCTCGCACGACTCGACCCGACTAGCGTCAGCGTCAGACGACAGAACTGTCAAGATCTGGGACGCAAGCAGCGGGACGTGTATGCACACGCTCGAGGGCCATAGTGTTAGTGTTTGGTCGGTGGCCTTTTCGCATGACTCGACCTGGCTAGCATCAGCGTCAGCCAACAGGATTGTGAAAATCTGGGACGCAAGCAGCGGGACGTGTATGCACACGCTCGAGGGCCATAGCGGTAGTGTTTGTTCGGTGGCCTTCTCGCACGACTCGACCTGGCTAGCATCAGCGTCAGACGACAGCACTATCAAGATCTGGGACACAAGCAGCGCGACATGTGTGCACACGCTCGAGGGCCATAGCGGTACGGTTATGTCGGTGGCCTTTTCGCACGACTCGACCTGGCTAGCATCAGCGTCAGCCGACAGAACTGTCAAGATCTGGGACGCAAGCAGCGGGGCATGTGTGCACACCCTTGACGTCGGCAGGACTCTTTTGAACATATCTTTCGACTCTGCTGACACTCACCTTTACACAGAAGTAGGCGCCATCGCTATTCCTTCTCTTCTGGCTTCCAGCAACACAGACATGGCAGCATTAAAACCACATTGCCAAGACGTCAGTCTAAGTCTAGATAGTGTTTGGATTGTGCGCGCCGGAAGTAATGTACTGTGGATACCGTCTGAGTATCGACCGTCAGGCTCAGCCGTGAGTGGGGCTCTAGTAGGCATGGGAGTAGGATCAGGGAGGATATGGTTTTGTCAGGCGATCTAGATAAGCAATTGTGAATAACCAATCAAAGGATAACTAGTTATTTGTAACTATACTTTGTATATCTTTGCTTATATAAAGGTAGGTATATGATTATATTAACAGGCACTCACATAATTTCAATGCCGTGGTGTCCATTCCTAGCTAATTTCTAAGAATAGGCAGCAGACAACTACGCACGTAAGTGGTGGCTCGACGAGGCCTTTGAGCTTTGCGCAACAGCCTAAGCCGCCTTGGTATAGCGCAGGTGTATAATGCAGGCCGTTAGTGTTCGAAACCTGCTATGCCAGCACGCTAAGAGTATCTTTAGGCCTTAAAACTCATATTTTGAGACTTTTATTGGTCTTGGAATAGTTAACTATTGTTTCTTGAATACACTAACGCCTTAAAAATCTTTGTTTACAAGAAACCAATCACAAGATCTCATCTAGACTAGTAACCAACGTGACACTGTTATACCAAGGTGTCTTGGAAGAGAGTTCGATAAAGTTCTCGCCGTGAAGGTCGCTTGGAATGAAAGGAGTACTATACTAAGTAAGTGGTAATTCCGATGGTCTGGAGACTCTAACATATGTACCTTTCAGCCGATATGCCAAGATTCTGAAGCGCAGCTTTAATACTTCGCACTGAATCGTTGTATTCACTTTCCGACAGCTCATGGGTTTCGCTTAACAACATACGTTAGATACTAAGAAGAGGTAAAGAGAGAAATGGGGATATCATACGGAGTCTTGATCAGGATTATGGCTTTCCCTTTCATAAAGAATGACTCGGAGCTTTTAATCTCATCAACAAAATCTTTGGTGAAAAATGCGTCACCTGCCTGAAGAGGATATCAAAGGACTCTCTCCACTGTTGTGGGCTGCGAGAAATGGCCAAAGGGAGGTGGTTAGTGATTTGATGCACAAAACAGGAGTCAACAAAACCGCAAAAGATAAGGACTTACGCAATGCGATCTCCTGGGCATGTCAAGGGGGACATACTGACACTTTGCGCATTTTACTAAAGAACAAGTGCGGCGGTGAGGACGACGTCGATATTGATGGTTGGACACCATTACTATGGGGCACTCTTTGATACGATCTCCAGCGACTGTAGGAACTACTTCTTTCGAGCCGTCGCGTCCAAA